GTCACATACCTGTCATTCCAGAATATGCTTTACGTCCCTGCTGCTGCACGTTAGCATGTTAGCATGTTAGCACGTTAGCATGTTAGCATGTTAGCACGTTAGCACGTTAGCATGTTAGCACGTTAGCATGTTACAAAACCAACGTCCCTGTGAAGGGTTGAAGCTCTACGGTATGACAAACTGCTGACACAAACATCGGAGAAAACACAAACATCGATGACACGAGGTTAAAGGCTGAGCTTTGAGCACTGTTGGTTATGACCATTAGCTCTCTGAGGACTCAGAATGTGAAACTTTTGGTTTTGTTTGTTAAACAGTGAAGACACAAAATAAAGTTTATGTAACTGTAACTGACATGAATATAAAACTATTCAAGCTTTTCCAACAAAGCTTTCTCTAAGGGTTCCTGGCTGTTCGCACCTTTGATGACAGACCTCACAGGGTTAAAACAGTCACACCACACCATTGGTTTCTGTCTCTGCTGGTTTTGTCTCTTTGTGGACCCTTTGTCCTCTCTGGGATCTTTTTCTCTGTGTTTTTGCTACAGAAATGATCAGAGTCACTTCAAACAGAGGCCAAACTCTGAGTTTAATGAGTTCCACTGAAAGACTACTCGTTAAAAATCTAATTAACCAACTCATCTGAGCCATATATAAAAGATGCTATTATTAACATTACTATTACAGGACAAACATGTGCGCATTACTTACTCCGTGTCAGACACATCCATCACATAAAAAACCTTCTGATGAGGTACAAATATTTCTACTCCAACATGATGTGAGAGAAAAAGGCAAACGAGGTTTCTGCTGCTCTGCTGACACTGAGAGGAGGGGTTACAGGTTTACTGCCCATCATCACCAGGAGCTCAGCACGATGCGTCCGCAGGGAGGTCACGTGATCCGGACGACGACGAGAGCGAGCAAGGTCAGGGTTTGTTGTATCCAAAGATTCCAACAGGAAAGTGTTTGACGTGTGTCGGCCACTGAGCCGCCAGCTGGAAAAACTTTACGTCATTCCACTCCACGCCGTCGACGGACACTGAGAGACACGAGGAGGAATTCAGTTCAACTCATGCAGCGCCAAATCAAAGTCACCTCAAAGTGCTCTATGCTGTGACTGCTTCAGCAGAAAGTAAAGTTTGAATCTTGAAAGTAGAGATAGTGTCTGTCTCCTGAATCCAAACTGGAAGCTGGTTCCACAGAAGAGGGGCCTGAAAACTGAAGGCTCTGCCTCCCATTTTACTTTAAATACCTCTAGGAACAACAAGTAGGCCTGCAGAGCGAGAGCGAAGTGCTCTAATAGGGTGATATGGTACTACAAGGTCATTAAGATAAGATGGGGCCTGATTACTTGACTCCATATCTCCATAACCTCTACGTGTCGAGATATATCTTTAGAGACTCGTACTAATGTTTAAGCATAAGAAGCAACAGAGTTTCTCCTTATGTGTTGCTATAACAGAGGGAAGCTTTGAGGATAAATGAAGGCACTTTATTTGTATTTGACTTCTACAGGGTCATGGAAGTAGGGCAGTGTTTATAATTATGTAAGAAATGTCTTTTTATTTCTTTTTTTGTATAGGGTCGGGCAACCTTTCTTTCTTTCTTTTATATCCTTTTCTTGGGAAAACAGCTTGTCATGGTCTGTGGTGGGTGGCTGGAATTTCC